CTTACACTTATCTTTCCAGGAGACAATAAGCACAAACTGTTTTAATGGTTCTAAGTAGATATTTGTAGGTGAGATGCTAAACCATAATTAAAGGAAAAGTTTAACAATTTTATATAATTTGATAACTGATTTAGCATACTCAGTTACATAATATCCCATTTTTAAAATTATGAATTTCATGCGTGCTTGTTACACAGACGCCTGACTTATTTGTAAGACGTAGCAGGTATATCGCTTCATCCAGGTTTAGCGACAGGCCATTGTAATCACAGGATGATACATAGACGAGTTCTTTCTATTATTACCGGTAAACTTCTCCTTTAAGGTTTATTCTGAAAAGTGTCAATTATGAAGTAGAGTTTACCTCATTGAAGAGAGAGGTAAAGTAAATAAAGGGGTAAAGGCCAAACATTGAGAAGACAGGCCAATATAAACCATAAATATTGTCTAAACTAGGGATGTAGTTAAAAGGTTAACCATGGAAATTACCATGGTGAGAGAATGGAAAAAAAATAGAAAAACTAATAGGACTGTCCAGTATAATGATGATATATTTGCCTATTACTCAATTTTGTGTGCTCTTTAGATCTGAACTTCAAGGCCTGTTTACAGGCATGTGAGTTCCAGGGTATGTTCACACCCACGGCGTAGGGTTGGCGTAGCTTATACCAGCGTAAGCTAATCCACAGATTAAAATTCCAAAGTATTCACATGAACGGTGTTCGTTACATTAACACTGGTGTTAAACTAGTAATAGAGGCCTATATGGAAAAAGTTCTAAAATAATGTACAGATGCTTAACTATATATAAAAAAAAAAAAAACAATTATAAGATAATTTTCGTAGTAAAACATCTTCAGTGCACCATTAAAACTTTTAAATCTGTGAATTGTTGGAAGTGAACTTTATACTGTATTTTAAATAAACAATTTTGCTTCTGAATATGTAGCTAGCATTGTGAAACAACACATCATACATTGTAAACCAATTAAAATGTAATAGAAAAATAAAATTCATTCCATAATAATTGTGCTTTCTATAAACTGAAATTCCATTTCAATTATAGAAGAGCACAGGAAAGTAACTAATCTATTGCAAAACTAATCGTGACTAATGTGGGGTCTGCAGATAGCATTAATAACGCCACAGAGGTGGCATTGTGGGTGGCTTTGATAACGCCACTGCCTAGTTCACACACAAAGGTGTATGTTACGCCAGGCTTATGCCGCGTGTGTGAACATACATTTATTTACAAAAAAGTTAAGACAATTCCCTCAAGGCAGAATAAACCTGTACTGTACACAGGAAAATTATTTTAATCTCTCTTTTAATACAACAACTGTACTGATAATGTGAACTACTGTAATGTTGTACTTATAGGAACATATGGATTCTTTTATCTTAAAACCCTACCATAACAGCAACAAAGCTGAAAGAAAAATGTGTAAATGTCCAGTGACTGTAAGACTTTTGTATGATGATGAATCTGCTCATCCTTAATTCAAAATTAAATTTTTGCTTTATTATCTTGTGCCTGTTTTTTCATTGACATAATTTGTTTGCAATACAGATGTTATAACAAAATGCATTGAGTAGTGCCAGCCTCCGGAAGAGAATGTTTATTTAGATGTTGTTTTTACTGATTTTTCTAAATACAAAAAAGGGGTGCTTGATAAAAAAAAAATTGGGAAGCGGTTAATAAGATACAGATTTTTGAATATTTAAAAGCTGGGGGGAAAATGGGTGTTTTCAGCATCTATTTCCCCCAGTTTGAATATTATATTTGGCAGTTTTTAAGGCAAGAATCACATTGAAGGGTGGAGAAAATAATAAGGGCATGGGGGGCACTGATTGTAGGCAGTTTCCTTGACAAATTCTCTAAGCGGTAACTGCTAATACTAAAGAAATAACAATTTAAACACGTCTCATGTATTGATCATACAAGTTATGTCCAGTACTCAAAATCCTAATGCCCAGTCTACTTTAATGCAACCCCAACTTTACTTTCTTTATGAACCGACCAACAAAACAATCTAAAACACTACCATGTGCATGTACTCACAGAAGCCTTTTTGACTGAGGTCTAGATGAAGTTTATTTGTGTTGCTACCTGAACTAATAAATTCTGACTCAAGTTTAGTAGCTATACTTTACTGCCTAAATCAACAAGCAAAGAAGCATATTACCTATCATTATACCTCCTTTCTCAAATTTTAACAATTTTCAACATGGACTTAGTATGGCATGTTCAGTCGTATTTCATTCATAACATACTGTCTATATTTGAACACAAATCTATTGTATTTGAAAATACACTATGTACAAAAAATAAATTTTTATATTTTCCTGCTTTCAAATCCAAAAAAGAATTTAAAATTAGTTCTCCAGACTAATTAATAAATTCATAAATAATATCATTCACATAATGTTTGGTAATCGAGAAACTCTCAAATTCAATCAATTCTGGGAGTTTATGTGGACTTAGCCAATTGCTTACATAGCAATCTTTAAAAACCATATTGTGAAATAAACACTGCGAGTGTGCTCTTTCTTTGAGGAGGATTTTGCGCTACTGTATAGATTTTCACATTACAGTATTATTATTACTATTACAGTATTATTATTATCATAGATTTAAATTTTCCGTATTAAAGTTGTTTACCTGTGAAAACCGTATTTGTTTGATCTGTGACTCAGAAGACAGTTTTTTACAATTAGAAAATTCAATGCTTTTTTAAGATTTTATCATAGACAGATACGCCTTAGAAAGGTTGGCGGAATCGGATTTTCCATGATGAAAAAACGAAGTGCACAGTTTGGAAAAATAACATTGGATTTAAAATGATGACATCACAATTAAATTATAAAAAAATATTATTAATAATAATAATTGGAACATTTAACCATACACAAATGGTATTCTAGTTCGTTCCATATGGATGGTGCAGCAACACAGAAGCCTTATTATTGCACTCTGTATTACAATCTTTACACTTGACTAAGAAGAATGATACTGGAATTTTGCTGAAGTTTACTGTATGGTCAATGACAATTGAATCAGTTCCGGAAACATTTTGAACCCCCTCTCTTTCAAATCCTGGATCCGCCCCTGCGTTCCATTGCAGTATAAAAGAAACCAGACCTCTGCCTGGGCTATGGTTTATATTGCTAATTACAGTATATAAATTACAATATTATGTGTACAGGTTCAGATCCAGAAAAAAAAAAATTAGCATAATTAAAACTTTTCCCCTATTTTCGAAAGAAGCTCAATCATGTAAATTTAAAATACATCTTATGCATGAGCGCACTAACCACTGAAAACTCAAAATCCATAGCTGCTAGTGGCTGAAACCGAGTGACTTCATTCATAGAGAGGGTAAAAACGGATCTGAATACAAAATTTTAAAGACAAAATGATCACTGGTTATTTAACCAACCACCGTGAGACTTGCATGTCAAACAAGCTTAATCTATGAGCTACACGTGACCATTCACCCCAAAGTTTAGCGACCTGTCGTTGCAGAGTTTATGTATGAAGCAGGAAGTATACCAAAAAACACTATAATTTAACATTTTTCCTATGCAAAAGCATAAGATGATGTCAAATTTAAAAGAAAAATGATCACTCAAATTTTGCATTAATTGTAAGAATATATAGATGATTATGAAGCTTAAAACATCTAGTTTTATAATCCGATCGCCCCAGATTGTCAAACGAAACCATTCAAATTATATAGTCGATTTTGTAAGAAAAAGGGGTCCTGTTTTGACTCATTTACTGTGTTAAGGTGTGCAGTGCCATTCAGTGAGTAGATGTCTCGAAGTTTTCATTATGGTAAGGGCCATGCGACTCCCCTCTGTGCATGTGTTTACAAAAACATTATCATCCATGGCAGTATAAAAAGACAAAAATTATTTTTTTTAAATGGTTACCACAGATGTTAATTTTGGATACATTTTTGGTTAGGAAACAGATGCTGTTAGCTTTGGGAATACTAAAGCCCAAAATAAACCGAGTAAATCAATTTATAATGAACTGCTAAAAGCTAGGACTGACATAGTTAAGCCAGAGTAGGATGTGGTTTTCCAAGTCAGTGAACATAAATCTACATTGATTCAGTAATTCTAGTATTCTACTGCCATTTTATTTTCAAGTGGTGAAAATTGTTAATACAGTACTGTAGATGATTTGGTAGATCTATATAAAAGTGTTGCCTTGAATAAACTTCATGCTAATGCACATGTACATGTACACATGCAGACATCCCCCCCCCCCCAAAGTGACGCAGTCATCGTTGATAATACAGTAATATAGTCTATAGTCTAACTATGGTCTCAGAGCCTCTAAAGAGCTTGCATTATTCACATAGCATAGTGCTAACATGCTTTTGTTCTAAAATAATCATTTGTTTATCACAATCTTATTTTGTTTATCAATTTACTTATAAAAAGCCACTAATTAACCATTTTTGGTATTTTGGGCTTCTTTTAATTCTAACAAAAATTTGAGATGATTCAGGGAGACCAGGAGATTGCATGTGAATCAGAGGGTTGGAACGTATCATGTAAGGGCACATAGAAAAATTATTGGATTATCACTCTTTTTGTTTTTTAAATTGATAATGGAGGACGGTTTTTTTTTTTTTTTTTTAATTGGAACATTAGATTATTTTGCTTTTGTTTTTATCGATGAGGGAGGGACTGTTTATATTTGGTGTGTAATAGTAAATATTGTAGTATTTATAGTTATCCCATCATGCAAAAATTATTGCCAGGCCAGTAGGCCTATGGGAACCTCCCTGCGACGTCAGGGCAGATATTTGGCCTACTAGTCCTACCTAGGGCCTAGCCTAGGGTAGTAGGGCCTATCCTAGGCCTTCTTAGGCCTAGCTTATTTATATGGATTAGGCACTATTCTCAGCATTTTCAGGTAATTCAAATCGTGAATTCATACTATATCTCATATTGTATCACAAAATCTGAAAATATAAACTCACGTGCTTATTTCGCAATTTAAAATCTCTGCTGTAGAATTTTAGTAAGCGCCACCGATCATAATTAGGATTTTCCGGGAAAAAACTTTAGATGTAGGTGGCAGCAAACATAAATTTTCTCCGCACATTTGACATTTCAGGGAGCTGGAAAAAAGGAGGATCAAACTCGAGTTCAGAATGATAATGATGTGGACAATGTATGATGATGATAATGTTGATGCTATTATGATAATTTTAATGATGATAATAATGATTATGGTGATTATGATTACGATGGTGAAAATATATATTCCAATTTGCCATGTTGATGAATCATTTGGATGTATTTATTGCTATTTTTTTATGGAGCGTACTCGTAAACTAGTCCTGAGACTGTAAAATGGGTATCAATTTAATTTGTTTAATAATGCTGATAAAAACCTTATTTTTTACTTCTGTCAAAAAATTGTTTATCTATTTCAGTAAAAAAGCTCCATTAAAGCGCAACCATGTGAATTACATTTAAAAAAAACCACAAATCAATTTTATTAGTAACGAAGGGTCGACATTTAGATATAGTATTGATATTTTTATTCATTCAATAAAAAAACCAACTGCAATAATCAATGCCACTAATAGTTTTATAAACAAATAACATATAAATACTGTATACAAATATATATTATAACAATAAACATAACAATACATAAAATATACATAATACATATACAAAAAAAAATACATATACAAAAAAAAAAAAAAACAATCATTCCATTACGGAACTTGATATTGATAAAATGAATATCATGTATTTCCTTCAAGAATTCTGTTCAAGAAGGGAATGCAATCGGGAATGCAATTTATCTTCGATTTAAATGTGAACCAGATGTAAATGCCTATATAGACCTATAAATATAAAGGATAGGGCCTAGGTGTTAATCGCAGGGCCTCAGAAGAGTTATCTTTACTTCGAGTATGTCTTTAACTTTAATTAGGAGCTTTTCGAAAACTTTTATTTATATAATTTTCTTGTTATCCTTGTATATTAGTTTAACCAATGTACTTAATAGAGACCTCATTGTGACAATAATAAAACCATGTTTGCTGCCCTCTCTCTCAGTTGTCGTTCATTGGGCTTTATTCTCGAGAAGAATCTCACAAATTATACTTCCACCTCCATAGGACGGAAAATATTCTCATATGCGAGTTCAAAGTATAAACAGATGTAGGCCTATGTCGTCTGTTTTGTTTTTAAAACTGTACAGTAGAGTCCCTCTTGGGACACCCATTAGGGAATATTATTGGCTGCGAAGAGTATGAGATGGAAAACGGTAGGCCAACACTATTTTCACTGGCACGTATTTTGGTCCCGAAAATATCCCATTTTTTAATAGTTTTTTTAGTTTTTATATTATGATTATGTTTTGCATGTATTTCAAGAAAGTGTTAAAGGCCAGGCTCCGGAGGGAAAAAAATGTCTTGATATGTTATAGAACTTATTTTTCTAAGACACGAAAAGCATATTTGACAAAAAAATTCTAAAGCGGTTAATGAGATACAGATTTTTGAATATTTAAAAACTGGGGTAGGGGAAGGTCGTATCCACCCATTTTCACTCAAATAGGCCTATGATTTTTTGTGCCTTTATTAGCTTATACTGTATAAGATGTAATTTTAGATTTTATATAATTTGTTTAGGGTGTTACTTTTTTATGTAGCTTTTTTTATAGATGTAATTTTATTGGGGGAATATTGGCTATTGTCAATGTTTTCCTGAATAAATCATGAGACTTTATAAAAGCTCAGATACTGTCTAATTAAATACCTCCAACCCCCCCCCCCAACCTACGTATTCTTTTGATTAATAGTAAAATTTTGATTCCTAGATGGCGGGAAATGAGCTTTTCGGAATTCTGAGGTGTCTTAATTACTTTTAAGAATTCTTCAAAATTCAAGGTGTTCCCCTCTTGAAAACGGTCAGGTAATTTGTCCCCGTTGTTATTACAATAAATATAGGCCTATGTAAAAAAACATTAACATTTAAAAACAAAAAGGAGTAGTTGCATTCGAATTTTTTCCCCCATGAATCAATAAATTCCAAAAGTAAAGGGGGGTCCGGGAAAATTTTAATTCCTAGAAGGCGGGAAATTAGTTTTCCCGACTTCTGAGGTGTCTTTTAATTGCTTTTAAATTCTTCAAAGTTGAAGGTTTTCCCCTCTTGAAAATTATTATAATGAATCAATGAACACAAAGAGAAAAGGGAGGTTCAGGTTCTTCCCGGGAAAATGTTGATTCTAAATGGTTGAAAATGAGCTTTCCCGACTTTTCCCAACATTGTGTGTCGGTCGTCCCATGTTGCGATGCGTAAAATTGGAAAGATTAGGAAATTTTTGGACAACCCGACCACCCTCCGTCTAGTTCACGCCTTTATAAATTCAAGGCTGGATTATTGTAATAGCCTCCTTATTGGACTACCAAAGTCTCAAATCTGCAAATTGCAGCTCATTCAAAATTCTGCCGCCCGTCTTGTTACTTTGAAAAGCGCCGTGACCATATAACCCCAGTTCTACATCAGCTTCACTGGCTCCCCATCGAAAAGCGGATCATATATAAAGTTCTTCTCTTAACTTACAAATCTCAGAACAATCTTGCTCCAGAGTATGTGACTGAACTTCTTGATCAGTACATCCCTACACGCTCTCTCCGTTCATCCACACTAAATCTTCTTAAAGTCAAGAAAACTAAAACCACTACAACAGTGGCTCCCGAGCCTTTTCTTCCATCGCAGCCACTTCGGGGAATGCCCCCCCCCCCCAGAACACATTAAAAATTCTGATTCAGTTCTCACATTCTAATCGCTGCTAAAAACACATCTCTTCACTGAAAATTTTGAAAGTTGCTTCTAAATTCCTTCTGCCAATTCATTGTTCTTTCTTGTTTTGTTTTGTTTGAATGAAAGGTGAGTTAAACATAAGAAAGGAAAAAGAAAGAAACGATATGGAATCATAAGAAAGGAAAAGGAAAGAAAAGATAAGGAAACATAAGAAAGATAACAGTAAGAATGATAAGGAACATAAGAAAGGAAAGGAAAGCAATGAATTTGGAATCATAAGAAGGTAAATGGAAAGAAAGATAAGAAAGTAAAAGGAAAGGAAAGATAAACTAAGGATGAATAAGGAAAAGGAAAGATAAGGAAACATGAGAAGAGAAAAGAAAGGAAAGATAGACATGGAAACGTTAGAAAGGAAAAGAAAAGAAATGATAAGAAATATAAGAATGAAATTTGAAAGACAGATACAGTACTAATTATAAGAAAGAAAATGAAAGGAAAGTTAAGGAATCTAAGAAAGGAATGTGAAAGATAAGATAAGGAAACATAAGAAAGGACAAGAAAAGTAAAGACCAGGAACATTTGAAGGGAAAGGAAGAAAGACAAGAAGCAAAAGGGAAAGAAAAATAAAAGGATTTGGGATGAATAGGAAAGTAACAGGCCTTGAAATGATTCCAATTACCAAGGCATTGTAATAATAACATTTATTGATAATCATCAGACCAATCATTTGAACTTAATTAATTTTTATTCTTTTCTGTTGTTGTTAAGCGCCTTGACGTTGTGTCAACGTGAGGCGCTATATAAATCCAGAATTATTATTATTATTCTGAAGTATCTTTTAGCGACTTTAATTTAAATTCTTCAAAATTAAAGGTTTTCCCCTCTTGAAAACGGTCAGGTAAATTTTTCCCATTGTTATTACAGGCCTTAAGTGTGTATACAAACATAAACAAAATTGAATATAGTTACATAGGATTTTTTCCCCATGAATCGATAAATACCCAAAAGAAAGGGGTGTCCGGGATTCTCCCCTGGAAAATTTTGATTCCTAGAAGGCGAGAAATGAGCTTTTCCGACTTAGGTGTCTTTTTAATGACTTTCAAGTTCTTCAAAATTCAAGGTTTTCCCCCTCTTGGAAATGATTCAATGAATCAATGAACCCCAAAGAAAAAGGGGGTCTGGGTTCCCCTGTGGCAGGGAAAATTTCGATTTCTAGATGGCGGGTAAGAAACTTTCTTGACTTCTGAAATGTCTTTTAAATAACTTTTTAAGTTCTTCAAAATTCAAGGTTTTCCCCTTTTGAAAACGGTCAGGTGAATTTTTCTCATTTTTTATTTTATGTGTGTATACCTGTGTATACGTACATAAACAAATGAGTAGTTGCATGCGAATTCTTTTGTCCATGAATCGATAAATCCGACATTTGAAGTGTGTTTTAATGACTTTTATGTCCTTCAAAATTTTAAATTTTCTTATTGTAATAAAAAAAAAAACAAAAAAAAAAACCAAAAAAAACAGCTCACGGGTCCTGAAAAGGTAGGTCTAGTATTCAGGACCAATCCCCCTCCCCCAGATCCACCACTGTGAATTGCGAGAAAATGTAACTTGGTCAAGGACTACCTACATAAACATTCTCTTTCCCATCTTTCTCCTCCTTCTTCTCTCTTTCTTTTCCTGCATTTCTTTCCGATCATACAAAAAAAGTTGGGGGAGGGGGTGGTGGCGTTCCCCTCCGGTTCCGCCGGCCATGGACCGCATAGTATTTCATAGAAAGTAAAGTGAGAGAACAACGGTTTGTTATTTTACTTCAGGAGGACTTAACTTATAGTCGATGAATCTTATCAAAACTATCTACATTGATATTCTAAACAAAAAGTGCGTTGTGTCCTGATAAACACGGAAGTTGCTGATAAACAACGTAAGAATAGCTGACGTCATTAACCTTACAACGCCCAGTTATTAACCCGGATACATTTCTAGTCATTAACCCGGATACATCTAGTCATTAACCCGAATCAATTATTCAGTGGGAGGAAATGTGTGCTAGACAGAAATGTTACTAGTCTACTCACACGAACCTAGAAAGGTAATGGATATTAATTTGACTAAAGAATAAATAATAATAATAATCGCTCGATAAATCCAATGGATTTTATGTAGGCCTACATTCGTTTTATTGCCTCTTGAATATGGAGTGATTCGATGACTGATCAGTGGTTTTATAAGTCTAATGAACGTCATAGGCTACCGTATCAGCAAACGTAGTCATAAGAAAATATGAAATTATTAATACGATATTCCTTCTAATTTCTCCATGATTATGAACGCGTTATTAAATTGGCGAGGAAAGTGGGGTTTTGTTTCGTTCCAATTTTCAATTAAAGTGAAGAATACACTTTAAAAATTAGGCCTACATGATATGCATGATAGAACCTGTCTCTTATACACATCTCGGGAAATTAGTTTTCCCGACTTCTGAGGTGTCTTTTAATTACTTTAAATTCTTCAAAATTCAAGGTTTTCCCCTCTTGAAAA